AAAAAAAAAAAAAAAAAAAAAAAAAAAAAAAAAAAAAAAAACTGAACCAGCTTAAAATAAGATAACAAGGTGTGGAGCTGTGTTCACCCAGCTCCACACCTTGTTATCTTATTTTAAGCTGGTTCAGTATTCCCCTAATGTGACTTTTTTGTGAGCCTTGTTAAATTTGAGGTTAGCCAGCATTGACAGGTAACTCGAGGAAAATGGTTCAAAAGTGATCCACACTGGCTTTAACTCCATATTTGCACTCCGACTCACACCAGTAAACTGTTCAGAGGAGACACCACCACCAGCTACAGAGACCAGTACTCGGGTGAAAGATTTATAAGACACCTGAGGGGCAAGTTTTTCATATGTGGGTTGAGCTGCCCAAAGAAGTGGTGGATGCAGGTACAGTTATAACATTTGAAAAATATTTGAATGGGTACATGAATAGAAAGGTTTTTGAGGGAACTGGGTCGAATGTAGGCAAGTGGGACTGGTTTAGTTTGGGAAACTTGATCAGCGTGGACGAGTTGGACTGAATGGTCTCTTTCTGTGCTGTATGCCTCCACGAAGTGAAAAGTTTGAACCAGTTGCTCGCATGTCGACTTTGACCAAAATGTCTCACTGAGATGCCTCGTATCATACCTGAGGGAGAATATCACTCACTGGTGAACAGGCATACTGAGACTAGGTTACATTCTTCCAAGTAATCCCTTTTGTCCTGGATGCAGCCTCAGGTCCTTGAGGTATTGAATTGATGTTGTACCAGCCTTTGCTCTGTTAATTATTTGGCTAGCATTAGACTAAGGTTTTTTATTTGGCTTAGTGTTGAAATATGGACTATAAGTGGCTGTTTTTTTACCTCTCCGTTTCAGAACTGAGGACAGCGATAAGAAGCTAGGGCAGCCAGGGACCCCCGGATCCAAGGATTTACAGGCGGCTCTCCGGCGCCTTTCTCTAAGACGAGAGAACTATCTCTGTGAGAGGAGATTTTTCGAAGACGAACGGGAGAGGAAGTTGCAAGAGCTAGCAGAAAAAGGGGAAATCTCGAGTGGCTCTGCGACACCAACCGAAAGCATCATGTCTCTGGGAACCAACCTCTCTGGGATATCTGATTTCACGAGGTTTTCAGGAATGTCTTTCAGCAGCCGTTCATACCTGCCAGAGAAATTGCAGATCGTAAAGCCCTTGGAAGGTGATACGAGGCAACGCTCTCTCTTTGTCCTGGTCTTCGATACTCTTTGGTCTCTAATGCACCATAAACCATCAGGAGCACTTTGTACCAAGTATTCTTTCTATTTCAGAGATAGCCAGCCACGGTGTTGGTTTGAGGTTCCTCTGAAATAATCCTGGCTTTTGACCCTTCTGAGAATTGTTACAGTGCTAGCTATTGTTGGAAAACCAACCAAATTTTTAATATTAAAGAAACCGCCATCAGCTACCTTGGTTTAAAGTATCCATTTGTGTCTGTTTTGAATCTTTTACTACTCTTGATTAACAAACTAAGAGCATCATGTTCATTAACAGCAAAGGAAATTTAGTGCTCATTGGGTTAAGTATAAAGGAATATTTCTTAGTCCTCCTGTAATTTTAAAAAACATTTAATTTCTTAAAGGCTAAATTCAGTGATGTATTTAATTTAAAAAGATACTTTTATTATTATTTGAGACACAAACAAGCTTGTTTAATTTACTTCAGCCTGTTCACTCATTTTTCAGTTAATGCTGTTGAGGTAGAGGATTACTAATTTATTCATTCTTATTACAAATAAAACGTTCATTGTATTTCTGTCTTTCACTTTGGTTTCTGTCTCTCTCATTTCTATTCTTTCTTCCTTTCCATCTTGTGTGTGTTGAAAATCAGTTCGTTTTGAATTTTTTTTCCACTGTTAGTTTTGTTTGCACTCTTTCAATTTATGACATAAGGTACTGGAATATATGTGTGATGAGAGAGAGAGCGCAAGTTTTAGTGATGGTAGACTCAAGTTATCAAGAGATTCAGCCATCGAATTACATGTGGATAGATAGAAATACCCCTTTTCGTTAAATATAATTAAGACTTTGTTTGGAAAGGTGCTGTATTTTCCGATGTGTTTAGCTCATGTTCCAAATACTTTTCTTATTTATGGTAATTGCCTTTGAGTCACATTAGCAAGGAATCTTATTATACTGATCAGGTAGAAATGGATGAAACCTCATTTAAAATCTGACTTGCTGAGGGCAGGACGTGTTCTTTTGAACTGATTAACACGAGCAACAGTAATGGGCTCATGGCAAAGTTTATTCATTGGGAAGTGGCAAGGAAACTGCTTGTATCCCAGAGGCCTGTATTTGGTACTTAGTGCATAGCAAAAGGTGTTTATTCAGTCAAATCATTAGAAGTGTGATTGTGAAATATTTTGATTAAAATTATGTTACAATATTGGAGAGATTGGTAACTTTGACATCTACTCTGATTATGGCCTTTGTGCAAAGATAAAAATAGGTGCAGCTTATAAACTACTAGCCATTTTACTAGCACAATCATTTGAATGAAAAACGATTGGGTGTTTATATTAGAAGGCACATCCTAGTTAATCTTTTGTAGACTGAATTTCCTTTGCAATGCACTATATGAACATGATTTCTGGTAACACCATTTGGAGCTAATTTGTAAATAGGCAAACATTGGGGAAATTGGTTGTTTTCCATATATACACATTTGAAACTACTACATCGCTGTGTTTATAAAATTTTCTTGCTTAAAATGATTATATATCTTGAAACACAAGTACAGTATTATTCTCGTGTTTAAGAATGGATTTATTGACAATGCATAAAAATATTTGCATCATCAAAAGTATTGGCTTGTGATGCAGTCTTTTGACAAGCTCTCAATTAACTTTAGGCTAGATCCACTGCTTGATAATATACCAGAATGTATCAGCCAAGACAGCTGCAGTTTCTGCCACTGTTTTGTGCTGACTTAGCTCATCTCAGCCCTGTGGAGTCCTGTAATTGGTCTCTGGACTCCTGCTCATAATTGCTGTCCAGTATCTTAGGATGGAGTGTGAAGTGTGTTCTCTGGTGACCTACTGGAAGTTTGTCAGTGCCCATGAGAGAGAATATCCCAGTGCAAATCAATACCTTTAATGAAAGGTAAAAATAAACGCTTTCTATTTCCTGAATTTCACCTTCATCTGAGCAATCGATTGTAAGGATGGTGGTGAAACTAGCAAATTTCTTTTTAAGAGGCTAGTATATGCATGTGGAAACAGATTAATTTCCTCTTCACCTGTTAGTGTGAACTACAATGCAGTGCTGATACCTACAACTGGAGGTGGACGTATGTATTTGCAGTGATCCATACCGGTAATGTTATCAGAATATTGACTCACTGAAAGCATTTGTTAACAAAAACAGATGTTAACAATTGGAAAATGCTTCTTTAATTTGCCTTGAGCATTACTTGTTTTGAAGTGTTTATTCTCCAATTTATTTGCAACTAACCCAGCTTTGTACTAATTTTGCTCCAAAAGTGACTAATGCTAATATGTCATCTAACAGTGGAGGTTTGCCAGAAGAATCCTAAAGGAGAGAAATAAACTGCTCTAATTATAATGACTAAACTGAAATTGTACCTTGCAATCTCCGATGGATTGCAGTAATAGCATGCTTGCCTCTTAAAAGGTTAAAACATCTCGTGGGATGACAAAACCTGTTACGTTACAGAACATCAGTTGGGAGGGCAGGCTTCCAGTATTTCACAGTTTTCTGTTAAATTGATCGTTTTTCTTTTTTAAAAAAAAAGCGCTATTTAACACATCACCACATGAGTTGATGTGGTGCATACAGCATGTAATATTAGGGAAACTATTTTTAAATTTAGCTGCTTAAAATAACTTGTTAATGCATTAAAAGCGCATGCATGACTTGGCAGTGCAACACTTACTTCCACTCACTGCTTAAATCATTGCTATTAATTGTCTTTATTTTAATAGCCACCTGTATTTGATTATAGATACGTATGTGTTTGTCTTAACAGGTTCAGCAACTTTGCACCATTGGCAACAACTGGCCCAGCCAAACCTGGGAGGAATCCTTGACCCACGGCCTGGTGTTGTCACCAAGGGCTTCAGGCCTCTGGAGCTGGACACTGAGCAGGTGTACCATTTAACAGATTATGAAGAAGATGAACCCGGCGACCCTGCTTTCCGGGGCCTAGCTACCTCAACCCCGGTGCAGCACAGGGAGACCTCAGGTGAGAGGTCGAATGAACAAGTGCCTGTATCACACAGCAAGACGTTAGTGATGCAGTATCAGCCAAACACAGTGGAGACACAGGAGACAGCGGACGGTGATGAGGCTTCTGGTGAGGGAGCATCTCCTGTCACGTAGAATTACCATTCGACAGGATGTTAACTAAATGTTAGAGCATTTGGTTCAGGTCAAAATTCTGCCTCTATATTGTTATGACTTAAGTGGTGCACTTTTATTCTCTGATCGGTTTCAGATTTAAAACTTAACATAGCATAGAAACTGGTATTCAGCTGAAAACCCCTACTTTCTGCCATTCCGTTAAAAGATCTTATTTACGATTCAGTATATCACTTTTCTTTTTGAAGCATGTGTAAATTTTCACCTATAACTTTGTTTCTATTGCTTTGTTAGCTCTTCACTCTGTGTCAGGATATTGTATTTGTGAATCTTTTTGTTCATGTCTTAACCCGGTAGGGAACAGTTATTTACAAAGTAGAAATTATGGAGCCTAATTATGTTAATCTGCATTTTGGACGTTATATAAATTCCACTTGGGGATCAGATGAATAGCTGTAAACAGTTGGAAACTTTGCTGCCATGTTTTCACCTCATTTAAATTCAGCAGGATCTATATTCTGTCTTTTATAATGTACATGGCAAGTCCCTTATTTAATACTTCCATTTGGACGTTGTCAGTATGATGGCTAAGGTGTGTATGTAATTAGTTAAGCTATTGACAGACACTGTGAAGTGCCAAAAACAAACTGGTTTCTTGTTTCTGTGAGCCTCACGCCAAATCTGCAACCAACTCACACAATACAAATTCAACAGTTTATCCTTAAAGTCGCATACAACTTATTTTAAAACATTATAATTTAATTGGTGAGTTTGTGACAAAAGTAAAAATTTCCACTAACTCGGTGACTGTTTTCACTGAACTAGTGACCAATCATTATCATCAATTATGCATTTTTAATGTGGTGCCTCAAGATCATCTCCTGGGATTGGGAGGAAGTGGGGCATGATAATTATACTCCTGACTTCAAAGGGGTTTCCCAATGGCTTTTTATCTCTCTTTTGTCCTTTCTTCCTTTAAAGCATTGCCTGCTGCTTGGATCAGAAATATTAGTCACCTTCTAGTTCTGACTAAATCAATAGCCAATTATTTGTGAACGAACTGGTGAAAGTTGGCAAATTATTTGTGCGTAGTATTTACAGTTAGTCATGCCTATGGCTGATGTTGCTGCCAGCTGTCTCCCAGTGGGGATCAAGACCACAAATACTGACAATTTTTTAAACTTCCCCCTGCTTTGCATGGGCCCACAAAGACTAAAGGTGGTATTTTAACTCAACACCGGTGTGACTGAGATCTGCTACTTCAGGATAGATGGGACATTCCTGGTCTGAGTGGCTGAGCCATACACTGGTGAGAATTGTTATGCTGTTCTCAATAAGAATATGCTACTGGACATTGGCCAGCAGCTGTGTAATTATGTCCCAACATTAGTTATTGCTTCCAGAAAGGAGAAGGGTAAGATTGAGGGGTGAAGGAGAATTGATGTCTTGACTTCATCTTCCATTTGTTGTTTCATTTGCATTGCTAATTATTTTCAGAAAAGCAGTTTCATGGAGGGGGAGGTGATTCAAAGAAATGTCTTGTAACTGATGTATAGTACAAATGCAACAAGTTAACCAGTTTGTGATCTAGAAACTGTTGGGATTCTACCCTTCCAGTGCATAAGGTACTTAATACTAACCCAACTTTGCTAGTTAAAGAATGGAGTTTCGCTCTGCAGCTAACTTCCTCAAGTTTCTCCGGAGTTTTAAAACAAAATTACTTGGACTTTGATTTGCATGATGTGGAGGTGCCGATGTTGGACTGGGTTGGACAAAGTCAGAAATCACACAACATCTGGTTATAGTCCAACAGCTTTATTCGAAATCGTGAGCTTTCGGAGTGCTACCCCTTCGACGTGACAAAGGAGCAGCGCTTTGATAGCTTGTGATTTCAGATAAACCTGTTGGACTATAACCTGGTGTCGTGTGATTTCTGACTGATTTGCATGGATTAACTGAAAAGATAATTTCTTAAATTAAGATTCTTTATTATTTAAATCCATTACCCACCTAGAATATTATTTAATGTATTTTTATTTAATTATTTCCCGTGACGTTTTGAAGATTTCCTAAAGTCCCACAACTGAGGCTGATGAGTGAAATGATTAGGATATTCTCTGTAAAATGTACTTCTAAAAACTCTTGGAGCCAAGATTGCAGTCATGGAGGAAGGGACTTGCATATTTAGATACATCATTAAAGTAGATCTGCTGCATCTGTATGTGTGCTAGAAAGCTAAATGGCAGTGTATTTAAAAAAAAAAGTAATTTCGGTTGGATTTTCTCAGCTATGCCAGTCCTTGTTCTCCCTGCTTCAGAAAGTTTATGAAGTCTTTTAAGAAAGTGAACTTATCTTTGCTATTGAAGACGCAGATAGATTAGATCATGTAGATTTGCAGAAAACTAAAACTGATGCCATAACATTCAAGTATTATTTAAACAGGAAAAAATAGTTTTGATCTCTCAATATTTCGTGTTTTTATGGCGCAACACAGCCCTTACTGTGTATCTAAATGGGTCCAAGCCAGTTGGTGAGACAGAAACCAAGATACCTTTCTTTGTGTGAGTTTAACTACTCAGTCTAGCAGATCACTCCGCACCCAATCTCATTTGTTCCCCCTTTATAACCACCCAATCAATGATAATATCTCTGAACAGATCAATTAGAAAGTATGACAAACCACGAGAGCAGGTGGGACTTAAATCTCTTGGTCCAGAGGTAGGGACATTATCACTGTGCCACAAGAGAGCCTTCAATCTGCTTTATAATTTTTTTGTTTTATTTAACCTATTTTTCCTAATTAACCTGTCTCAGATGTTATTAAACACTTCTGGTGGGGCTTGAACCCAGACATCCTGGTTGAGGGATACGAACACTACCACTGTGCCAGAAGAGCCCTTGTTTCTCCTGCCAACCTATTTTCCTAATCGCCCTGTTCAGAAATGTTATTACACCCTTCTGGAACAGGTGGGGCTTAAACCTGGGCCTCCCGGTTCAGGGGTGGAGACACTGCCAATTGCAACAAGAGGATCCCTCTCTCTTCTCCCCCCACCTCTCCACCACCCACTTATATGAACCAAGTCAATTAGTGAGTTTACTAACCCCAATCACTTGTTAAAATACTTGCTGCATTAACATTGTACAGGAGGACTTACATTCTTTATGATCTGCCAGCTCTTATTATGTGCCAGTTCCTCAATGTTGTTCTAGAATCAATGGAATTGAGGTTCCTCTTCATCAGTTCCCAAGTGAGCTTATACAATTGCGGCTGAGTGTTTAAGTGTAATTCTTTCAGCTTCAGCATGTTCCAAGCAGAGTCATTGATCTTACATAGTATTATTGGTGTGTTGATTTGGGATGTTGAAATAATGCCATAATGAGATTTAAAAATTAATGCCTTCTACCCTTCCCAATCCAGACAGACCCAAACTCCTGCGGGAGAAATCATAAATTTTAAAAGTACATTTAAGAATGAGACAATACAAAATCTGAGAATTATTGTATCTGATTTTGGAGAAAGATGGATGGCTGGTCTGGAAAGGGTTACATAATCTGGAGTTGACTTTGTCAAAAATTGATTTTTTTTTGCTTTTATAATTGCTGCAATAGCTGCTGATGTCTGTGTTTTCTGCTGTTTTCCTTCCCTCTCCACCACAACCTCTCGATCTCTTACTTCAGTCCACTATCCTGGTAAATGTATGTCACACACCAGCTCCACCTTTACCTTCACAACCTGCCGCATTCTTCACCCCTCTGATGAGCTCGCACAAGTCACTTCAAGGTAAGATCAGGGCCTTTCACACATTCGTGTGCTGACAAACTAATTTTAACTTCTCTTTTTAAAAAACTTTATTGGAAAACTTAAATGCATGAGGAGTTACTGTTCTGAAGAAGTTGTCATACTGGATTTAGAATGTTAACTCTGTTGTGCTCTCCACAGATGCTGCCAGACCTGATGAGTTTCTCCAGCATTCCTTTTTTTTGCATGAGGAATTAAACCATTTTGTTGTTTAACAACAATCAGGGAACAATCAGAGGGATGTGTCTAAATTGTAAAATCTTGCCTCCTTTGCAGATTTAAGTTTAAAACTGGACAGAAAACTGACCCCAATAGGGCGGACTGGAGATGGGAAAGATCCCTTGAATTGTAATTCATTTGCTACAGATGCTTCACTTTAAATTACCTTCATTACAGGTGATTTTGAAATCATTGACAGCAATTTTCCTTGTTAAAATAAATAGGTTTTACAATTCATATAGACTGGTCGCATTCCTAAGCAAGTTTGTTAATGGCTCTATCCATCAGTTATTTCTAAACTGTAAAGCCTATTCATATGAACGTACATACAAATTCTGAAGAAAAGTAGGCCCTTCAAGCCTGCTTTGCCATTCAACAAGTTCATGTCTTATCTGTTTGTGTTCCAAATTTCTCTCACGATCTATCCCCAATACCCTTTGATTCCCTTGCCTAACAAGTATCCATCCAACGCTGCCTTAAAAATATTTGACATCATTGGTTTGATTGCCTTTTGAGTTAGAGTTCCCAAGTTGTACAACCCTCCTGAGAGAAGAAGAAATTTCCTATCTCTGCCCTAAAAGGGGACTCCTGATTTTAAAACAATGCCTCCTAGTTCTGAACTTGTCCATAAGAGGAAACATCCTTTCTGTATCCACCTTATCAAGACCATTTAGGACTCATTTTTTTAAACTTTTAATGAAAACCAGCCCAGCCTGTCCAACCTTTTTTCTCGTAAGACAACTCATTCATTCCAGGTATCAGTCCAGTAAACCACCTCTGAACCAGCATTTACATCCTTCCCGAAATAACTGACTCACAACATCCTGACTTTTTAATATTACATTTCTCTCATAGTAAAGGATAGCACTCCATTAGCTGCCTTGATCTCTTGATGCATAATGTTTTGTGACTCATGCACATGAACACCTAGACCTCTCTGCACTTCAGAATTCCCCAAGTGTTTAAGTATTAAAACAACATTTTATTATTTTTCCTGCAAAGTGAACAGCTCCCATTATATTCCTATCTTCTAGATTTCTGATGACACACAACCCAGTCTGCAACAAAGTAAAACTAAGAATTGTGAATGCTAAAAATCTGAAACACACAAAAACAAATTTCTGGAGAAACTCAGGTTTGACAGCATTTGTTGGGAGAGAAAATAGAATTAACACTTCCTCTTGTTTTCTCACCACCAATGCTGCCAGACCTGCTGAGTTATGTCACTCTGCATCCTTGTTAGGTCATATTCACAACAGACTTTCCCACTCCAGTATGTATCATGCTTACAAGCTAACTTATTACGCATTTATGTACAGAATCTCTGTTATAAAGCAAAGTCTAATTTTAAGGGACTTATAGATAAAATTGCTGGAATAACTTGGTACAGTCTGTACTATTTAAACCAGGCACAGACTAATTAAAACCCACCACATTTCTGACTTAACATTAATTTAGGAGACCAATATTTCAACTCAAACTTTACTCTTTTCCTAGAAATGAGCCTGTTCAATTCCTCCAAATTTTGTCAGTGGTGTATATCTATTTATGAATGTCTGTTTTAACACCAGCAAACCCCTGGAGGCATGCCGTAGAGTTGAACAGAAATGGCATTTATAGATCTAATTTGTGTGATGATTTACGACTTTGAAGATATGGGCCAACCTAATTTTGGGTACCAAAATTGCTCAGTCAAGTATCTGAAAGAGAACAGATCTTCCTCTAATGTGATGCTGCTGACAGAATGAGTTGGAAAGGCCTAAATGCACGATAGTGCAAATGCTAACAGTGTTGGCATAAAAATGCAATGAACAACTCTAACAACAAACGATCTTCCACAGGTCTGATGAGGACGATCAAATTACAGTATATCATCGCATTTGAAGGGAAAAATAGGGCAAAGGTTGACCCACGAGGGTGAGATGCACTGCCAGTGATATCCAAGCTGGCCCAATAGAAGTGGAAGTGAGGCATGTGGAAAACTTAATAAATCTAACCAAGTAGTTGATTGCTGCACAATCCCTAACGTTGTTTTGTCTAGCACTAGGATATCAAGCTAACAGTTGCTTACCATTCAACATAGTTCAGTTATGTAGTTGGTGCATGGGGGCGATATTTGAAAAGTGCAATACACACGGAAAAACTTGGCGACAAGTGAGTCAATGTTCAAAGTGACCTGTTTTAGCATTCTCAAATGCCTGGTTATCAAGGAGTGTTCCCCTGTTGATGAATGTTGCCTTTTTTGATAATTTCCAATTATTGGTAGCATTATTTTGCTATTTCCCATTAAATGAAATGTAAGAAAACATGACACAAGAATTGAAGTTTTGATTTCTGGTAGATACTGCCTCATCTGTTTAATCTGTTGAGACAAAACTCTATGTAAATATTCCTTATCTCTACAATGGCAGGATGATGTTGCAGAATCCCAGAATATTTGCTTGTCTCAGATCTTGTTCAAATTTTACTCATCCTTTGTACTTCAGAGAATAGTTTGCTCTGAACTCATGCAAACAGCACCATTGCTGCATGACATACTTGATCATCTCAAACTGCACTGATCTTAATCTCACTTGTAAACGTATGTCTGTCCAGCTCCTTTGATTTGTTAAGTAATACAGCATTGACTTATCTGCTTTTAGAAGTAGTGAGTGATGGGATGTTTTGACAGCTAGAAGTTGCACGTGAACTCATTGCCATTTTAACAGGGAAAAATAGGAGTTTGCACACCGGTCATGTTATGTAGGATGTGGCGGCATTTGCATCTACAGAAGTCTTTGTGTATACATACTCCTGTCAATATGTTTAATTTGCACAAATGTTCCTTATCTCGTTTTAGTTAAACCAGGTCCAGTTATTGTGCCAAATATTACACGTGTCAAAATAATCACTTGTACTTCAAAGCAGTGTGGCTAAGTCTGTTGCGGTTATGTGATTACAGTGATCCTGATGGAGGGAAAGTGCACTGGAAATTGAGTCCCACTACCCTATGAGCCAAAAGTATAAATGTCTTGCACTAACAGCAAATTGTCAACTTGCTTCTTCTTATCACTGTTATCTAGAGCAAGAGAGACTTTGACCAGGTTTCTTCAGTAAATTTAAATTAAATTTGATTAAAGAATAAGTTTGTTCTTAATTAAACAACCAGCAAAATGGATAATTAACTAAAATACAATGTTCCCCTTACCCCAAGCATATACCATTCCTATACGCAGGATAGAATGCAGTGCTTGAGAGTGTGGTGGAAACAGGTTCAGTGTTTGCTTTCAGAAGGGAAGTTGGGTGATAATTTGGAGAGAATTTGCAGAACCATAGGGGAAAAGGTGCCAAGAGTTTCTCTTGCGTTGAGTCAGCATGGACATGATGGACATGATGGGCAAATGGCAGACTCCTGTGCTATAATCATTCAATAATACATCAGATGGTCTATAGCTAGGAAAAAGGAGGGGTGTGCCTTATGGCAATCAGGCAGTTTCCTAGAGTTCGGATTGGAGACCTCTTGCCAGCAAATGCGGTGTGTTTTTTTTTGATCAGGAGCATGCTTTTAGGGATGAGTTCTTCACTGAACTTTTAGAAAGTTGATTCATGTAGGATCCAGATGGCTATAGAAGGGAAGTGCAGATATACCAGGTTGTCACCGGGGTTGTGGTGAAGTAAAATTGCATAGACCAGTCATGTAATTTCTTGTGATTTGGAAGATTTAAGGGTTGATCTGATGGGAGTTTTTAGAATTTTGAAAAGGATAATTGAAGTGAAGAATAGAGGGAAGCATTTTCTGTTGGTGGATAAGTCCGAGATGAAGCAACACAACCTTAAAATATGATTCAGGCTATCTACAGCAGAAGTGAGAGGATGTATTCCTTCATGCAGGGGTGATGAAAACGTAGAACTTTTGCCAAAAATAGCAGTAGTTGTTACCTCAATTAATAAAGTTATGTCTATAATCAATAGACCTTTGTTAGGCAAATGTGTTAAAGACATGAAGTTATAATAGTTATGGCAGATATCACCCATAATCTCTTTGAATGGTGGAACACATTGAAGGGAATGGAGTGAATGCTGCCTTTTCCCATGTGGTGACTTCTTTTGGACCTAGCTCAGTGCAAACTTTAAGTGCGAGGACTTTGGAAAATCTCAGTTCAATGCTGAATAGGCAAGAGCTCCCAGATGAAATCTCCTACTCATTTTAACATTGCCTTGACGATATTGCCAATTTTTTGACTGCGTTTGTGTGTGATCATGTGCCATAGGGAAAACCATTGGTTTTGGAAACGTGGGCACAGTGTTTGAGAGGGGAGGCAGCCCATCTCACCATCCAAAACCCAGAAATACAAGAATGCCAAAAGTAGGAGCAGGGGTAGACTTTTCCATTTGACCCATCTAGCCCATTCCTTGTTCAATGTGGTAATGGTGAATTTCTAGCTACAGCTCCACTTTTCTGCTCACTCCCCATATTGTGGGTGAGAAAATCCCTTGATGAGTGTGGAAAATCCTTGTTTTGTTTTTTACAAACTGGTTGTGTTGGGAGGGCACCTGATTTTATTCCAGGTGGTTGCCACTCTGACTGACCTAACGATTCATCATTAGAACTTAATGAGGGAAATGAGTTTTCTGTTGAGTGTCGCAGGGAGCCACTGTGCTCACTTGCTTTTGACCTTTTTGTAGCCTCCTCTCATGAAGGCTCTTACATTATCACTTTACTACTCAATTCCTTAACTACGTAAATCATTGATCATCAGCATGAGGGACACTCCATTGTCCTTCTTCTTTTTGTTTTCCCCCTCCTTTCTTTTCTTTTCTGTGTAACTCGGCTTGCCTCTGCTTGAGATTTTAATTCACCATGTCAGCTATTTTTGTATGCAAATCAGTGTCATGCTTTTCTGTGCTATATTAAATATAACAATAAATGTAGATGCTTTGGGTTTTGCAGCTTTAATTGACGCATGAATATTTTACACATACTGTTCAGACAAACTGTTTGTGATTTCAGTATATTCTCTGGTAGAATATACCTGTTTCTCTGGGGTAATTTTAATATTCAAGTCAGTAAACTATTGTTTTTTTTTAAATTTACTTGAGGCAATGGGCTTTGCTGGTTGGGCCAGCATTTTATTGCCTGTAACTAAATGCCCTTGAGAAGTTGATGGTGACCTATCTTCTCAAATCACTGGAGTCCTTATTGTGTAGATAAACTCAATGCTGCTAGGGAGGGCGATCTAGAGTTTTGACCTATGACATTGAAAGAATGGGAACATAGTTCCAAGTCAAGACAGTGTGTGATTTGGAGGAGAACCTGCAGGCAGTGTTGTTCCTTCTGCTTAGTGTAATTTTTAAAAAAAACTGTAGAATGACTAGTTTTTACTTGCTCTTTAGGGAGCCATTTTTTCAAAAAACCTGATTAATGTATGTAAAACAATGGGTGCAATGGACTTGCTAAGTCTTTTTTCCTATTTTCTATCCCCATTTTTAGTGTTCACTCTGCACCTACTCCAGTCTGTGGGATCTTGAATAATATAAAATCAACTCCAGTTGGTACACCGTGTACACCTCGACGCTTGAGCTTGGCTGAATCCTTCACTAACCTCCGGGAAGGTACAACCACACTGAGCATCTCTCTGGGCCTGGTTAAGTTACTGAAGGAGCGAGGGATCTCAGCAGCTGTGTACAACCCGTACAGCTGGGACAGGATGGGCCTCAGCACCACTGCAAACTTCTGCACTCCCAAACCAACCTTTGTACCATCCACCCCACCCAACTCGCCATTGTATTCCCTGTGCCCGTCTCCACCTCCATTTGAATGTAAGGGCACTTGCAGTCACTATGACAATTTCCTGGCCTCCAAGCCAGCCAGTTCTATGTTAAAGGAAATGAGAGGGGACAAACCAGTGAGGCACAGCGAAAGCCAGACAGATGTGAGCATCTCCAAAATCAACCTGGTTGACAAAGTGAAGAGGCTTGGCATTGCCAAAGTTGTTCATCCAGGCATTACGCCAGTGCAGGAGTCTTCAATGATGGACGACAATGGACCCCTTCTTAACAGGGCCCCAGGGTCAGTGAATACTTTTCCCCAGGGCAGTCTGGTGGGTGAGAGCCTCGCATTAGGCTGCACTCAAGTGGTCACTGGTGCTATTGGAGGGATTCAGCTGAATACTGGCATTCGACGGAATCGCAGTTTCCCCACAATGGTGGGTGCCAGCATGCAAATGAAGGGACCTGCTCCCATGAGTTCAGGAATCCTTATGGGAGCCAAAATACCCAAACAGACTAACCTACAATAAGGGTTAAGCACAGTGTTGGTTGACTACCGATAAAACTGACTTTCAGTGTTTGATACATTGACTTAGTGCCTAATAGGAATAGAGCAAACTTTGTATAATTATGTACATAGATTTACAGTCTGAAATTCATTTAAGCAACTAATTTAATTTAAGGTCTTAGCTATACATATATGTATATATATATATAAAGGAAGTACTCTTCTGTGATTTAAAACATACACTCACATTGAAGTGGATGTTCTAACATTAACTTTTTAATGAAGGCAGGTAGATTGAATTTTGCACTGTATAATGATTTGACTACACAGTACAATCAGACACTTTGAGCTGCTTTGTACTAACTATGCAGTCCATTTCAGTGTCATCACTGTACCTGTTATGGACATGCAGAGGACATTGTTTTAACTAATGCACTGTATTTTAAAGAAAAATAACTTGTTTCATTGTATGAAGCATCGTTTTTAAAGTGTGTGTTTTTGCTATTAACTTGTTTTGACAGCCACATTTATTCATGTACTGAGCTCCTTATTGAAGGTTAACTATAGTCTGTAGGTGTGTGCAATGGAGTAAGATTAGCTCTAATAGTAATTACAGAATCCAGTGTTTGTGTGACTTTTATATTCACTCATTGATGCACGATGTGAGGGGAAAGGGAACTTAAATACAAAATTCCCATTTGCACTGTTAGTTGTAAATACATGTTGGTGTCAAAACTGTTCACAACCAACAGCCATCAGGCCCCATTGAATCTTGAGTTTATTTTCTCTGACTGAGGTGACTCGCTGTGGTCTCAAACATTTATTTGATATATTTTGGAAACAAATAAGACTATTACTGCATGTGTTTTAACTGCCTCCTTATGATTTCTTACTGTGCAAGTTTTTTTAAAGTGAATATTGAGATTCAGTTTCTAGTTTTACACCACATTGTGAATATTGGTCCCCAGTGATTGAATTTCTATTAATTTGAAGCAGGGAGGGGAGTGATTTTGAATGTATTGGATGATGAAGCCAGCCTGATATGGTTCCCTATATTGTAGGTCACTACTTGTCCATTAGACATTATGTTAAAGGAAGATGCCAATTGTAAACATACAATCAAGGGGAGTTTCTCCACAAATCAGGCCATGAACGTACAGGGACACAATAACACTTTAAGAATGGCATCTAATGTATAAGACAGTTTCAACAGTATCAATTCATCTTCAGAGGAGTTGGAATAAATCAGTGTAAACTACTTAAAAACTGTGTGCTTTTATTTTAAAAGAAGTCGTTCTTGACTGTCATGTATGTAAGAAAGATCATTCATTTAGTTTCCACACTTTTATCAGGAGGGTCATGTATAAAATCTAAAACAGGAGTCTCTTGAGGTTCACAGTAGTGACCCTACCTCTAAGCCAAGAGGCCTGGGTTCATGTCACACCAGCTCCAGTGTGTGTAATACCATCTCTGATTGATTGGGTTGATTTAGAAATATCTAAAATCTGATAAGGACACATTGGGATCAGAAGTCTATCAGAGTCTGCTAGAGTGGAGGTTAGGTGAGGACATGATCAGTCACTGCTATCCTGGTCCACCCCCTTCATCAAACAGCTTTGTGCTACCTGCACTTCAAAGCAATTAAAGTGGGTCACAAACATGGTAAACTCAAGAGGGTGAATTGGAAATGGTGGGAGAGCTAATGGATCATAACCTGCCAAATATCAACATCCTGGACAAGAAGAGGAAAATAGGGCAGGGTGTAAGCAGATTCCACCAAATGAGCTGGAAGGTATGTAGTGCCTGAATTGAAGCTATGTTTCGCAAATAACTTTGAAATCCTGAAGGGACTGTATGAATTGTTAAAACCGAAAGAACTGCGGATGCTGTAAATCAGGAACAAAAACAAAGTTGCTGGAAAAGCTCAGCAGGTCTGGCAGCATCTGTGAAGGAAAAAACGGAGTTAACGTTTCGGGTCCGGTGACAGATGCTGCCAGACGTGCTGAGCTTTTCCAGCAACTTTGTTTTTGTTGTGTATGAATTGTTGTTTGGCAGTACAAACCTTTATTATTGCTCAATAAGTAGCGTGTCAAAGGTATTTTGTTTTTGTCCTGTAGTCATCGGGACAATAAACATTACAAGGAAAGGAAACAGACAGTGGATGTTTCAGGGATGAGGATGAGGACATTCTAACTCCACCACCAGCATCTCAAGTACCACTTCCATGGGTCTGTGCGACCTCTGCCTCGGGTCCTGAGTCATTCTGAATGCTGGCGCTGTGTCCCATTCTCTATCCTCGGCGGAAGTGGGTGGATGGGCGCACGCTGCATACACAGTTTCTAGGAAATTGCATTTCATCCATACTCCATTACCGAACCTTCAATCAGTGCTGGCGCCTATAGGTATGTTTCAATTGCAGTAATTAGCCTGAAAATTCTGCGTTGGAGTCCCGTTCAAACCAGCGTTTCATATCAGCACGGCATTCATTCAGAGCCTGTTTCAAGCCTTTGGCCAAATTTAGTCCTATTCTCATAATCAGCTCGACTATTGTGATAATGATTATGGTAACTGGGCATTATCGTTCTTTGGAGGAATACGTTGTATCAGGCCGAAGTTGCTGAGTGCTCCGTGTGTACAGTGCTATCCTCTGCTGGCAGGAATGAAATAGAACAGACATAAACACTATTCTCTTAATCCTTGGGTTGTCGTTTTTTTAAAAAAAAGCTCCAAAGCTTTGGTATTTTTCTTAATTTGAGTCTTTTCCGCCCGTTCTAGATATTATAAGAAATATAATTAATTTAAATTTGGAATTCAAACTTTTAACTCAATTTTTGATCATTTTTTGGGGGAAAGGAGAAGTGAATGTTTCAGGACTCTTGTCCTGAGCCCTGAAGAAGGGTAATACCCGAAACATTGACTACTTCTTTCCTCTAGATGCTGCCTGGCTTGCTTAGTTCTTCCAGCCTCCTGTTTTGTCTGCCTTTGATTTCAGCATCTGCAGTTTTTTTTTGTCTTTGATCATTCTTTCTTTGTTTTCTCTCTCTCTGCTATTCTCTTTCGTGCATTCTCCCTCTCCCTTGTTTTCACTTTCTATTTCCCTTCCTCTTTCTTTCCCCTTCTGTCTCGTCCTCCTGTCAATTTCTGTCCCTCCCACTCTAGTTCTCTTGTTGTTCCCTTTTTTTAATGTATCTACCTCTTGTTCCTTCTCTTTATCCGTCTCTCGCTCTCTTCCCCTCTCCCGCCCTCCCTCTCTCATTCTCTCCCGCCCTCCCTCTCTCATTCTCTCCCTCCCTCCCTCTCTCATTCTCTCCTCAGTCTCTCCTCTTCTCTCTCCCTCCCCTTCTTTCTCTCTCTCGTTCGCTTTTTCTCTCATTCACTTGCTCTTTTGTCACTGTCCTTTCTGTCTTGTTTTCTCTTTTTGTTCGTCTCATTTCCCTCTCCCATTCTCTCTCTTCCATTCACTCTCCGTCTCATGATCTTTCTCCCTAATTCTCCCACATTTTCTTTCTTTCTGTCCTTTTACTCTTGTTTTCTCTTTCCCCCTCTCTTTCCCTTCCCATCTTCCAGTCTGTGTTCTCTTTCTGCCTCAAGTTCTTTCTTCCTCATTCTCTCACGTTTTTTCTTTCACTCTTTCCCTCACTTTTTCTCTTTCTCTCTTTTTATCTCTCTCTTTCCCTGCCCCTCTCCATAGACCCCATCCTCTCAGAATGTAATGCTCCATGTAATTGCCTGTAGTTAGACCAATTTCAAAGAATATTTAAAACCTTTTTAAGATGAAATTTTTTTCTGTAACATTGCAAATGTATGCGGACTCCTAAAATATCCACAGTTATTCTTTAATACATATTGTGCTAATTTAAAAAAAATCTAGACATAATTGCACATTTATTTCCCTAAACATTCAAGTTTCACTGTATCAATGAACTTCTGTAACAAAACTGCAATTTCACTGGAATGCAGTACCCATTAACGGGCCAGCAGAGTGCACTCTATCACCTTATATTTAGTCATTTCAAAAATTTGTACGTGACATATGACAATTGCAACATCCAAAGATGACGATACTGCTGGGTTGTGTAATTGGATGCAGTTTGGGTATATGACCAATCCTTTAATAACTTGTACCTTCTTCTGTATTATAAAATAAAAGAAATCACACGCTTTACCAAAATTCAAAGCCAGACATGGTACAATAGGACAAGACTAGATTGATTGGCCTTATGGCTTAAGTGTTGTTATTTTCTTTGTGGGTTAAAAAGGAATGCAAGTCTATAACACAAGATGATTTGGATATGAACATAGGAGGTGTGGTTAGTAAGTTTGCAGATGACACCAAAATGGATGGTGTAGTGGACAGCTGCGAAAGTTACTTCAAGAGTGCAACTTCGGAGGAGTGGCAGATGGAGTTTAATTTACATAAATGTGAGGTGCTTTATTTTGGAAAGGCAAACTAGAGCAGGACATATACACCTTTAATGGTAAGGCCCTGGGGAGTGTTTCTGAGCAAAGAGATTTGGAGTGCAGTTTCATAGTTCCTTGAAAGTGAAGTACCAGGTAGACAGGATAGTGAAGAGGGTGTTTGGTTTGCTTGCCTTTACTGGTCAGTGCACTGAGTGTAGGGGTTGCGAGGTCATGTTGTGGCTGTACAGGACATTGGTTAGGCCACTTTTGGAATACTGCGTTCAGTTCTGGCCTTCCTGCTATAGAAAGGATGTCGTGAAACTTGAAAAGGTTCAGAAAAGATTTACAAGGATGTTGCCAGGATTGGAGAGTTTGAGCTATAGGGAAAGGCTGAATAGGCTAGGACTATTTTCCCTGGAGCATTGGAGGCTGAGGGGTGACCTTTATAGAGTTTATAAAATCATGAGGGGCATGGATAGGGTGAACAGCTAAAGTCTTTTTCCCAGGATGGGGGAGTCCTAAACTAGAGGACATAAGTTTAAGGTGAGAGGGGAAAGATTTAAAAGGGATTTAAAGGGCAACCTTTTCCCCGCTGAGGATGGTGTTTGTGTAGAACAAGCTGCTAGAGGAAGTCGTGGAGGCTGGTACAATAACAACATTTAAAAGTCATCTGGATGGGTATATGAATAGGAAGGTTTTGAGGGATATGGGCTAAATGCTGGCAAATGGGAATAAATTTATTTAGATATCTGGTCGGATGGACGAGATGGACTGAAAGGTCTGTTTCTGTCCTACGCGTTTCTATGACTCTAAAGGGGAGCAGGATTAGACCATTCAGCTTCTTGCTCTGTAAGATGCTACACTTGTAGTCCAGAATGATGGATAGTCAGGGTAGAGATGATATTCTTCTTTTCATCAGAGCCTGTCCTTGGAAGGATTTCCATTTGTCACATGGTAAACATATTCTTCATGTTTCTAGATCTGGGCTGGGGTTCGAACCTGGATCTTCAGGCATGAATTCTGGAGTCCTGGGTGAGAGGAATGATTAATGGTTATAGGCATTAACCTTAACTTCAAAACTACTGTTTTGAGCTCAGTGATTTGGCATCATTGCCTGACAAACCGACATGGATGCCCGGACAATATTTTCCTTGTTTTGGTCTACGTCATTGGACACGACTTTCCCATAGGCTGTTGTTGGGAGACCAAATGGGGTGTCCTGAACCCCTAGTGACCAGGAGTCATTCCAGTGAAGCTGTTTTCCCCCAAGACAGCCTCCTGGCACCTGTAGAGACTGAGCAGCCTGACTGGGAGAGGTAGGTGCTGCTGAGGCAGGTTAGAGACCACATGGGCACCTCATCATTCGGGTGAATGGTTATTTAATCAGGGGATAGCATAGTTAGGGGAGGTAGTGACAGAATCGGGAATCCCTACAGTGTGGAAACAGGCCCTTCAGCCCAACAAGTCCACACCATCCCTCGGAACATCCCACCCAGACCCACCTAATCTACACATCCCTGAATGCTATGGGCAACTTAGCATGGCCAAGCCACCTAACCTGCACATCTTTGGACTGTGGGAGGAAACCAGAGCACCCAGAGGAAACCCACACTGACACGGGGAGAATGTGCAAACTCTGCACACAGACATCCACCTGAGGGTGGAATCGAACCCAGGTCCCTGGCACTGTAAGGCAGCAGTGCTAACCACTGTGCTGTCTCCTTGTGAAGTCATTTGACCAGCAGTCCAGAACTCCAGACTGATGCCCTGTGGACAAGGGTTCCAATCTCACCATGGCAGATTGTCAATTTTGAACTCAAAGAAACAGACTAACTGCACCATGTACCAACCGTTGAGTTGCTGCGCAGACCAATCTAGTTAATGAATGTCCTTTGGGGAAGGAAGTATGCCATCTTTACCTCACCTAGTCTACAACTGACTCCAGACCCACAGCAATGTGGTTGCACTGAAAAACCCTCTGAAAAAAGCAGAGCAAGCCATTCAGTTCAAGGGGAATTATGGATGGGCAACAAATGCTGGCCTTACCAATGACGTCCACGTCCCATCCAAATAATTTTTAAAAAGATAAGCTCAAAGCTTCTGTGAGCTTTACGGTAGAGGTGTTTCCTAAATCTACTCCTGAAAGTCCTGCTTTAGTTTTTACATCCCCTAGCTATAGACTCCTTGGCCTTGTCTGTTCTTTAGATTCACTGTATGAGGGAAGCTGAGAGTGATCAAATTACTTAGTTTTATTTCAGTAGAAATTAGTCAAAAAATGAGAGACAAATTTCCAAAAGAGACAAATCTGTGATGTAGTAAGGTTACAGTTTTGCTATTAACAGGAGACTGAACAGCATAAAGGGGATTGTTACAGACATGTAATATCTACAGTGAGAAAGAGTGGATTCATGAGAAAGTTGGAAAAAAACTTATCACATTAAATTGAGAACAAATCATTGCAATAATAGGCCAGAGAGAAGCTTCAAGGCAAAAAAAGTTAGGTTTTTATATGGTTAATTGGTTGTGTGACATGACTGACTCACAAGCCATACCTGATTTTAAAAACCAAAAGAACTATGGATGCTGTAAATCAAACAAAAACAGAAATTGCTGGAGAAACTCAGATCTGGCATCATCTCTGGAGAGAAAGCAGAATTAATATTTCAAGTCAAGTGACCCTTCCTCAGCAGCCATACCTGAGGCAGGGTATTCAGCTTCATAGGACATTATGTGACAATGGTCAGTGGTCATAAAGTGATATCCTTTTGTAAACATCTTGTGAGCATATGTTTTAAAATCATGGTCCCTATAATTTGGGTTAGATGTGTCCATTCCACATTGCATAGAATCCCTACAGTGTGGAAGCCCATTGAGTCTACACTAACCCTCCAAAGGGCATCTGACCCAGACTCATCCCCTACCCAGCCTGCATTTCCTGTGGTTAACCTATCTGGCCTGCACATCCCTTGGCTTTATGAGCAATTTAAAATGGCCAATCCATCTAACCTATACATCTTTGGAAACCAGATCACCTAGTGGAAACACACATAGACATGGAGAGAATGTGCAAACTCCACACTGACTGTTACCCAAGGTGGGAATTGAACCTGGGTACCTGGTGCTGTGGGGTAGCAGTGCTAACCACTGTGCCAACCCCCACCTGTGATCAGTGTCTGATTTGTAGACCCTGCTTCCCCTCCAGAACAAAATTGAACATTCACTTGATACTTAATGTGCTTTGTGAGTATGAAGTATTCAGAGTTGCATTGTAAACTACTGAATACTAACATACGTTTTACTGAGCTTAACGTAAGTGCCATTTTAACAGACAGCCTCACTACTTTCACCTGAGTCATCAATCCCAACTGAATCACTAGATCCACCTGTCAACCAAAGGCAAGTACGCTTGGTAAATGGATTGACTCCTCACGTCACAGAAGCAGCTCTTCTGATCCACTTGCCCAGAGTAAGATTGACTTACAGCCTTCATTTGGCAACTGGATGTGTCTTCGGAGTCAGCCCCCACCTTCCAAAGGGCAAATGGTCACACATCAAAGGAGGCTTCTACGGTCCCAATAATCGATGCTTTTTTAAAAATATTCATTCTTGGGATATGGGTGTCTCAGGCCAGGCCAGCATTTATTACCCAGAGGCAGTTTAGAGTCAACCACATTGCTGTCGGTCTGGAGTCACATGTAGACTAGACTCGGTAAGGTGGAGATTGATGAACCTGATGGGTCTTCACAACAATCGCTGATAGTTATGTGCTCACCATCACTGGGTCAGGCGTTTGTCTCAACACTTAATGAATTGAATTTAAATTCCATCAGCTGCAGTAGTGGGCTTTGAAGCATTTGCCTTGAACATTGACCTCGGCTTCTGTGTTACTAGTCCGGGGACATTAAGATTACCCAGGAGCAGCGGTCGATGCTAGGTCAGTTGTTAGTTATATCTCTGTGTTTAATTTTTATAAAACAAATATTTTAAAGAAGGTGCAGTGAGTTGTGGAACCAACATCATGTGGAATATTCTTCTCTCTTGCTGCTGTTATATGCCTTCAGTTTATCTCCAGGGTTTTCTCCTCACATTCTGGACCTGATGGAGAGGAGCCCAGTCTTGCTCCCCTTAAACTCGACACAGGGGGAGGTTGGGTCCACATCGAGCTGGCAATGATGTGCAAGCATTCCATACCAAGGACACTTCAGCAGCAAATGGACACACGCTCTCAGGCCAGGAAAGAGTTCAGTTTAACCATCAACAGCAGGAAGTCAAAAGTCATGGTTCAACATATTGTCAAACCACCAGCTATCAGCATTGACAAAGTGCAATGTATTCGGGAAGGACAGGGTGGCACCAATTCGGAGAAAAGGCATGCTTGCAGCTTCTGTTCAACTTTTGAAATGGTGAATGGAAAATATGTATGCACAACCTTCAATTGAATAAATTTGACCCAAACAATTATTCCCAAGCCCTTCAGGTCTCGAATATAGTGTTGAATGTCCGAATCTACTGGGGAGAAATACTCCTCTCTGGTGACATCTTTGATCCAATCTGAGAGAGATTTGGTAGTTCAATCAATCAATCAATCAATCAATCAATCAATCAATCAATCAATCA